ATTTTTGAACTGCTAGCTTGGCAGAAGCTGGGGCTAACAGTGGGAGCTCACCCCGCTCCCGGACTCGAACCACCAACCTTTCGGTCAGCAAGTTCAGCAGCTCTGTGGTTTAACCCGCTGCGCTACTGGGTGGCTGCAAGCTTGCCCTTACCTGCCTTAAAGTCACTGTAAGTCAGAATGACTAGAAGGTACACAGCAACAAATTGCATCACAGGGAGCAGATGGCAACTAACAGGATGACCCAGCTAGCATGGGTCATCCTGTTAGAAATGATACTCCAAAAGAACAACTGAGCAATACATTTTTGAAATTATAGTCCAAAAGAATAACTGAGCAATACATGCCTTAAATGTCTACTGCAATTTTTTAAAAAAAATGGTGGCTTGGTTTTTAAGCCTGTTCTGGGGTTATTTGGGGCACCGATTCAGAAAATTTCACTGGATAGACTGCATCATCTCTAGTTTCTTAGATATGATTATCATGGTCTTCTGTGGGTGAACAGATGGCGACTGGTAGGTGCCACATGTTCTGTATCTCAAAAACTAGAGCCGATAGGAGAAAGCTGGTGTCATTTTTGGAATCAGCAGATCAAATATATCCAGAACCAGGACTAACATTTGAGGCACCAAAATACGTAGTGGACAGTGTAATCAAATACACAAAAGTTAAAACCCAGAGGATTAACTGTATGTATAATTTCACTCATTTTAAAGTGGCACATTTGGAATCTCAGATTTATTCTACTGAATGGAGCCCTGAATATTTGTTCAAAGTCCTGCCCTAATGGCACCACTGTTGTATATTCTAGACTTCAGCCTTGGTGTTGTGTCAGGGTTTAGCCCAGAAACAAAGGCAAGCCCTGTCTTCAAAGCATGTTGATTACAATTGCAATTAGAGCCAGGTCAGGAAGCCTCAGAGGAAATAAATTAGCATCAGGAGAGAGAGAGCACTCCTCAGCATTGCATTACCTGTGAATCACTTTTGGTTTCCCAACACAGCATCTATAATATAGGGTTTGCTAGAGCTAAACCAAGTGTGACAAGTTTTTTAGCCGCCTGGACTTCCACAAATTCATCATATGCAAGGAAGAGAGATGAGCCTGACTCCTCCTGGGGTCTCAATTCAGCGATATCTCCTTTCCTGTGACACATTTCTTTGGTGGCTTCCCAATGGCTTCCCTGTGCCGGCAGGACTGAAGACCGACAGGTTGCAGGTTCGAATCCGGGGAGAGGTGGATGAACTCCCTCTATCAGCTCCAGCTCCTCATGTGGGGACATGAGAGAAGCCTCCCACAAGGATGACAAAAACATCAAATCATCCAGGCGTCCCCTGGGCAACGTCCTTGCAGACTGGCTGTTCTTGCACACCAGAAGTGACTTGCAGTTTCTCAAGTCGCTCCTGTCACGACAAAAAAAATTTTTTTTTACATGTCTTACCCATTTTAAAACAATGATAGGGAGAGAAGACCACTTTCCACCATGTGAAAGAAGACAGAAACAAAGCTGGATTATTTGTCTAGCAGCCAAACACATTAGACTTACTCTATATTATGAATAAGGAATCTATAAAGAAGACAGAAGAGAACGCAAAATTTCAATGTTTACATGGTTTTTGAACTTTTGAATGTATTTCCGTCATTGGAAAGCATAGTACAGGTTGAATATCCCTTATCCAAAATGCTTGGCTAGATGTTTTACGTATTTCTGATTTTCCCCCTGATTTTTGAATACTTGCACATAAATAATGAAATATTCTGGAGATGGGACCCAAGTCTAGAAAGGAAATCCACTTAGGAATCATATACACCTTGTAAACACAGATTCAAGATAATTTTATATGCACTATTTTAAATAGTTTTGAGTACACTGAATTGTCAGATAGTAATGGAACTACCTTTGCCCATTTTGAATTTTGGAGTATTTCGGATATTAAGCAATAGGAACACATTGGGCTTTTTGCTGAATAAAATAGTGATAATAATTGCCTGGATCTCTTGAAATGCTGTTGCACCCAAAGCAAACAGAGCTATTCTGTTTACACAACTAATCTGGACACCAAAAAAAGGGTTATTAGATGTTGCAAGATTGGCTATCACAGCACACTTGGGGGTTCAATGACATTGTCAGCTTCCAATGTTTCAGTTTAATAATAATAATAGTAAGGCAAAAGCAGGATTGAAGAGAAACAACTAGAAAAGTTGGCATGATTCAAGGATTTAAAGATTGAACTGTAAAGACTCTAGCACAAGTCAATCAAGGTGGTCCCAGTGGTGATCGGCACACTGGGTGCAGTGCTAAAGACCTTGGCCTGAACTTAAACACAATCGAAACTGACAAAATTACCATCTGCCAGCTGCAGAAGGCCACCTTACTGGTATCTGCACGCATTATTCGCTGATATATCCCAAAGTCCTAGACACTTGGGAAGTGTCTGACGTGTGATCCAATACAACAACCAGCATCATGATCTTGTTTGCTGTGTACTAATCTTGTTGTGATTCTAATAATAATAATAATAATAATAATAATAATAATAATAATAATAATAACAACTACTACATTTATAACCCACCCTCTCTCCCCAAATGGTCTCAGGACAGCTTACAAAGACAAATAACAAAATAGAAATAAACAACAGTAAAAAAAACACAATTAAAACAAGCAATTAAAAATTCACAAGTAACACAATAATTGTGAAAACAGTTAATATGTTCCATAATTAACATAATGAATTAATCAACTCAACATGAGAAATTAACAATAAAAATGTGCAATGAGTTAGGGCAATATGTTCTCAGCCAGCCTCATCAGCCAAAATAGAAGCATAAGAAGTTAATAAAAGCTAATCCTCCTCCTCTCTGAAGGCCAGTGTACAGAGGTGTGTTTTTAATTGCTTCTTGAAGTAGAGGGAATGAGGAAGCTGTTCTTACTTCCAAAGGGAGGGAGTTCCAGAGAGAGGAGGGGGTCTCCACCAACCGTGCTTGAGTTGGGGGTGGGACCAAGAGCACTGTCCCCTACATGGACTGCAGTACCCATGTAGGTATATATACAGAGATGCAGTTAGTTAAGTAGCCTGGACTCGAACTGTTTAGAGCTTTATATCAGCAGTTTGTATTTAGTCTGGAAGCAGATCAGCTGCCATTGGAGCTGCCGTAATGTGGGAGTTGTCTGCTCCCTGTACAGCACTCCAGTTAACAACCTGGCTGCTGATCTTTGGACTATTTTAAGCTTCCAAACGATCTTCAAAGGCAGCACCACGTAGAGAGCATTGCAGTAGTCAAGATGGGATGTAACTAGGGCATGAACTACCAAGTGGCAATAGGGTTGCTGCCAAGTGTGATACCAAAAAAGAAGGCTAGCAAACAAAAAGCAGGTAAGCAGGGGAAAAAATAGTATATTGCAGTATGCACATGCTTAAAATATGAGTGCCATGTGCTCATCGAAATCATATCCCTACTAATCCATGCATTAGTTCTGATATTGACTCTCACAATATATTAGTTAGGGATGAGGATACTTTATTCTGATTTTTTTCTGGCTCAGTTAGAATAGCATTAACATAAATTGAAATCCTTCCTTGTTTGCATTGGTGACATTCAACTGGTTGAAAGTCAGCAACAATTGTGCCATGGGCTTAACTGGTGCCAGAGGGATTTAAGTAAGATTAAAATGAAGATGACTTCTGGTTAATTCCTTAAAAAATATATATCCCAACCTCACATTGTTGGCAAAACTCCAGCCTGCAATATGTTCTGGAAGCAATGACGAAATATAAAATTTCCCCCCATTCTTAGTCACAGGAATTTACAAGGTTACATCAACTCAACTCAACTCGAGATATATCAACTGATCAACGGAGAAGCATCTTACCACTCTGTTTCGGTTGTAGGAAAGCTACTCTGTCATTGCTAATTGGTATGATGGCATAAAATGGTCACACTCAGGATGCCGGTTAGCAATGAGTAAAAGTGTTATCAGGCGCAGAGGCTGTTATTATGGTTTGGGCTCACCCCATAGTTTCCTGATGAAGTCAATCCCTACACAGAGTTGGAAAGTGGCTTTCAACTTCACAAGGCTCATTGAAGGCCATTTTCCACAGAAAGGTAATCAAGGGTTGTGGGAAAGATCAACCAAAGAGATATGATATTACCTTTTAGGCACCTTTTTGGCCAAGGTGCTAGGTGGGTTCTCAGAGTTATGGTACAAAAACTGTAACTTCCCCAAGCTCAGTGCTCCCACCATCAAGGGCATTTTGGTGTCTGAGTAGCCAACTGTGCTATTTACCTAAAGCTTGCCACATTATTTTGACATATGGAGACAGAAGAAGCTATAAGCCTCTTTCCCCTTCTCTAAGACTACAACCTTGATCTTGAATTGAGAGAACAGCCAGGATTTAATCCATGCAGGTGGTTACTGCATTGAGGCAAGTAGCAAGTACTCGGTACTGCTAAATGTTGTGATCTGTGTATCAGTTGGCAATGGCCCTCTCTGTACTTATCTAGGCTGGTCCTTAGGAGCAGGCACCCAGCTTATTGTTGGAGCTGCACACAAAGTCTTGCCAAATTGATAGAACCTGCCAATGTTCATTCATTGTTTGCATAACTTGTTGTCACCAGTTCAAGATACCTTGCTAGTAGTACTTATGTGAAGTTGGACATATCTGTGGTCGATCCTAAATAAAAATCATTTATTAGAAAGTTAAATAGTTTCTGGTTCCACCACTTGATCTTGAAGAGCTTTACTACTCACCCCTCTGCTATGAACCAGAGAAAGTGGTTTTATTGTCACCTGAGCTATCAACTAAGGTGCTGGGCACTCTCCCCCAAATACTCAGCACCCTGGATAGTTCCTTGGCCCAAAACAGTGTCTCCAACTTCTATTGCTGTTAATTGTTCCTGTTGTTTACCCAGATCTTATCTCATGTTTACTCATGATACAAAGACATCTTGAAAGGTAGTGAAAATGTGTATTTTCCCTCCCACTAGATTGTAACATCATTGCAGCAATGGAAATGTCTCGCCATCCCATTGTTCATCAACCACAAGCTCCCAGATGCACACGGAGCTTTGAATGGCAGAATGAGCTCTGCGACTGTGGCAACGACTGTCACATCTGTGAGTTATTTTCTAAAAAATTGGATTTGATGTTTTTGTGAAGTTTATGGCTTGCTTTTACTTGTCCATATAAAATCCAGGATCCTACACACAATCTGAAAAGCATATATGCTCACTTGGGAGATGTAATAGGGATGATATTCCAGGTCCTACCCAACACATGGACATTAGAATGGATCAATACCACCTCCCCGAAAAGACTGAGCAAAATTGGCCCAACATGACTCCTATATAGTTGATCCTCCTCAGAGATGTGCTGAATATACTAAGACATCTTGCCATCGAACCTTCCCAATAATAATAAATGCTGTCTGCAGTCTATCATATGCAAACTTACTTGGGAGTAAGTGACCATGAGTTCATACAGCAGTAGTTCTCAACCTGGGGGTCCCCAGATGTTTTGGCCTTCAACTCCCAAAAATCCTAACAGCTGGTAAAAAGACTGGGGTTTCTGAGCATTGTAGGTCAAAACACCTGGGGACCCACAGGTTGAAAACCACGGTATAGAGGATACTTCTTTATACACATTGTGCTGTTAAGACCCTTTACATGTAAAGATGTTTCAGTGATAATGTGTAGGAAAAAGAGTTTGGCCTTCCCCTGCAAGTACTTAGAAGTAGGCAAAATTAATAACCATTTAGCTATTAATAACACATTTCCTGCCAATGTTGAGCTCCATATCATCACCACCCTAATAACATCTCCGAGGGCCCTGATACACCCAACATAGATTTGAATGTAAGGGTAGGCAAAGTGCCATCCCAAGGACACATGTAGGCTTGTCCACTCTGTTTTGCACCCTGGGGAGTCCATTTGACTTTTAAATAGGTCATAATAGATTTTGAATACATTTTTAATAGATCCTGTTCATTTTAGTTTTTCCTTCCTCCCTTCCTCCCTCCCTCCCTCCCTCCCTCCCTTCCTTCCTTCCTTCCTTCCTTGGCATTTTTGTCAGACTGTGTGACCTCCAAGATTTAACAAAATGGCCCTTTGATGTACCAAAGTTGTTCACTTAATGTGCCCAAGATTAGTTTTGAAGCTTCCCCCATCAGAGAAAGAGATGTAACTCATGGGGAAGTCCGGCAAGAAGGACAGGAAGTTCCCGATGCAGACAAAAACAGAGACAATTGCATCAGAGCATTGCAAACCTCCTCCCTCCCCAAAAAATGGGTGCTAAAAATGGAAGCAACAGAAAAACAAAGAATGTATGGGGATATGTCTGCCCACAAAGAGCGTAAACTTAATGTGCAACACTGTCTAATCTGTTTGCATGAAGAAAGTGGTTCAGTCAGCCCTAACGGGCTTAAAGGAATGGTTCCCAAACTTTTGGCGCTCAGGGGTTCTGGTCTTCCAGGGATTGTGGAAACTGAAGTCCACAATATGTAGAGATTCGGAGTTAGAAAACCACTTGCCTAAAGCATGCAATTATGTACATCTTAGATATTCAGTTTTCTGTCCACACTAACTTTATGTCTCCATGCCTTTATTTTGATAGTTGGTTCTAGGTGTAGAGGAGGTGGCATGAGTTGACCAGGTATTTTAAGGAATGTCCCTTATTTGAGGGCTGGCAACTCAGCACTTTATGGAGACTGAATGGGATGCCCAAAATCCAATGATTTCTGTCATGGACCTGTTAAGAAAAGATTAAGATACTTTGCTGGGGCAAGTAAGCATGTTTGGAATTCACAACTAATATGCACCATTATAACCCTATCCACTTCTCCTCTGCTTAAAGCTAGTAGATTTTCTCCTACTATCACATCAAATTGAGCAGAAGGGAAGTAGAATTCTGTTTGTCTTTGGAAACTGCTTTTTATTCTAAGAACAATTCTCTGAGATAGGTTAAAGATGGTTATAACTGGTTCATGGTGCAGGTTAGAACTGGTTCATGGTGACTCTGAGCTTTATGATTAATCTGGACTTCATAATTCCATCACTGGAGTTGACTGGCACAACCTGGGAATCACAACCAGACATAGTGAAAACATCTGCCCTTGTGCTTTGCTACTCTGAGTATGCTTGCCCAGTGTGGAACACATCTCACCACATTAAAACAGTGGAGGTGGCTCTTAATGAGACATACCGTAATATCACAGGATGTCTATGCCCTACACCACTGGAGAAATTATACTGTTTAGCCGGTATTGCACCACCTGACATCCGCCAGGAAATAGCAAATAATGAAAGGACCAAGGCAGTGACATCTCCGGCCCATCCCCTGTATGGATATCAGCCAGCACACCAATGCCTTAAATCAAGAAATTTGGACCTCAGCAAGCGAGAGTCCATAAGTGGCAGGCTATAACCCGGAACCTCAATCCATGGCTGATACCAAATGAGAGACTCCCTCCTGGGCACACAGAAGACTGGGCGACTTGGAAGACACTGAACAGACTGTGCTCTGGCACCACGGGATGCAGAGCCAACCTTAAGAAATGGGGCCTCAAAGTGGAGTCCATGACTTACAAGTGTGGAGAAGAGCAAACCACAGACCACCTATTACAATGCAATCTGAGCCCTGCCACATGCACAATGGAGGACCTTCTTACAGCTTCACCAGAGGCAGCTTCTGGTCAAAGGAAATTTAGTATAGTGCCAAGTTTTTAAACTTTGTGTTTTTTTAAATACAACTGCACCCTCAGTTCGCTTCTGATATGATAGATAAATATTGGAGGACTGGAGTTGAAAGGGATCTCCAAGCTCATCTAGTCCCAATCACCTGCCAATGGAAGAATCAACAGCTATGGCATGACTCATTTCATATTGCATTCTGTCACTCAGATTCAAAAAGGGTAGAGTTTGCAGAAAAGGGGAACAAAATGGAGAGATAAACAGATTTTCTATAAATCTAACCAAAACTGAGGTTCAGGTTACTCCAATTTTTAATCATAGTTGTCAAGCCTTTTTTTGATATGGCTAAAACGGATACAGTTTTTAGCCCTCATTACAAATTGATTTTCATAAAGACGGAAGTTTGTTCATCACGTAATGTATGTTGATGAGTGTGTGGAGAATATATTACTCTGAGAAACAGCTAAATTAACTTTTATTGGATATTTAGGCAGAACACACCATATTAACATGTACTTCCTCATTGTCAGCTTTTGAGTCAGGAATTTTGACTATCTCTGTTGCTGCTTTGGAAACTTGGCAACCGTAGTAGCAACTGAGGCATGTGAATCTCTAGAAAGAGACTTCACATGACAAGTCACTTATCTGAGGATCCAGGCTTGAAGGAACAATTCATATAATCAATCAGCTTGCTCTGGCTCCTCAATTCAGCTGATCCAGCTGTGCTGAGAGCTGTGATACATACTTTCCTTCACTATGATCTAGATGTGTTGCAGACCACCAACAATCAGTTCTAGAGTCTGTCTTGTTGCACTGAGAACTGCCCCACTGAGACAGAAAGTATCCTAAATATTCCTGTATAAGTCTAGAAATTTTAGTTAAAAAGCAGCCTCCAAAGCCTAGATCAATTTAGTCACAAGCCAATGTGAATAGGGTACTTTAACTCTTAAGGGGGAAAAATGAACCAGCCCCTTCTCTAAGTAAAGTGGTGAAAGAATGGAAAATGAAATGTTGGAGGACAGGAAAGGAGATTTAAAGATGGACTCAAAGCCAACCTTAACATAGACACTGAAAACTAGGAAGCCCTGGCCCTTGAGCACTCCAGCTGGAGGTCAGCTGTGACCAGCAGTGCTGTAGAATTTGAAGAGGCACGAATGGAGGGCGAAAGAGAGAAATGTGCCAAGAGGAAGGCGCGTCAAGCTAACTGACTCCCACCTGGAAACCGATGCCCTCGCTGTGGGAGAAGATGCAGATCAGGAATAGGGCTCCAGAGTCACCTACAGACCCACCGCCAGAACACCAACCTTGGAGGACCATCATCCTCAGACTACGAGGGATCACCTAAGTACGTTAACTCTTAGGGGGAAAAAATGAACCAGCCCCTTCTCTGAGTAAAGTGGTGAAAGGCAAGAACTTTGTCCATTCCAGGAGAATCTACAAGAAACATCCTCCTCTTTGCACTTTGGCATCACCTCTGGCCTTTTAAAATGCCTGGATGGGGAAATGGTGGTAGTTGTTGGCCACAAATAGCTGAGGGGGTGCTTTCCTCTCTCCATGGAATGACTCTCAAGTTATTCATAAGTCACATCAAAATCCATAATTTTGTCCTCCAAATCTGCCTGCAATTTATGCACAAGCTTGACTTGTAGATGAGTATAGACCATGCATGGACATGCTTCACCCCTCCAGGTGTTTTGGGTTTCAACTCCCGATAGGTTGTTAGGAATTGTGGAAGTCCAAAACACCTGGAGGGAGGGCCAAAGTGTGCCGAAGCCTGGTATATACGGTAAGTTGCCCAAACCTCAAATTCAGTCCCTATCCCCATAAAAAGAAATTGTAACCCCGCATTTATAGGAAATGCTGTATTTGGGGCCAAAGAGGCCCTCCATTTGTCTTGAGCTTCTATTCCAGTGTGTGCTTTTATAAAAATCTTGTTCTACACCCAGAGGTGGCAATAGGCAATTTTCAACAGTAAGCAAACAGTATTTTGGCACATCACACCCCCCCCCCCCCCCCCCCCCCCCCCCAACCAATCACTGATATATATTTTCTGTTCATCGTGGGAGTTCTGTGTGCCATATTTGGTTCAATTCCATCAATGGTGGAGTTCAGAATGCTCTTTGATTGTAGGTGAACTATACATCCCAGTAACTACAACTCGCATATGTCAAGGTCTATTTTCCACCAAGAGAGCCTCAAGAGCGCCCCTGGGCAAAATAAACTACACTGCAAATGCTTACTTTGTGTAATGGGTTGAGCCGCCCCTGTCTACACCCAACCTCCATGAGTCACTGTAATATGCAGTTCCCCTTTCAGGATGGTAGGCATTTTGTTGATACGCATAGGAATACAGGAATTTATATTATACTGCATGAAGTCATTAATTCATCTCGCCCAGGGAGATCTGAAGCACATAAGTCTTTTCGTTTGGAAGGAATTTCCCCAATGTTCCAAGGGAAAATAAGGTAAAAGGTAAAGGTAGTCCCCTGACATTAAGTCCAATCATGTCTGACTCTGGGGTGTGGTGCTCATCTCCATTTCTAAGCCAAAGAGCCGGCGTTGTCTGTAGACACCTCCAAGGTCATGTGGCTGGCATGACTGCATGGAGCGCCGTTACCTTCCCGCCGGAGCGGTACCTATTGATCTACTCACATTTGCATGTTTTCGAACTGCTAGGTTGGCAGAAGCTAGGGCTGACAGCGGAAGCTCACGCCGCTCCCCGGAATCGAACCTGCGACCTTTCGATCAACAAGCTCAGCAGCTCAGTGCTTTAACCCACTTCCAAATTTCTCTCTCTCTCTCTCTCTCTCTCTCTCTCTCTCTCTCTCTCTCTCTCTCTCTCTCTCTCTCTCTCTATCTATCTATCTATCTATCTATGTTGCCCCCTAAAAGGTTCTGTTGAGCATTTGGCTAACTGAATTTAAAAGAGCTAATTTAATTTAAGTTAAAAGGAAAAGAGATGCCTCTTTTTGAAACAAGAAGTGACTTCTAGGCCTCAAATGGTAGCGGAAGACCTGAAAACACAAGAATGTCCCCTAGAGTGCATTTGAGAACACCTCCAAAATAATAATAGTAATAATAATAATAATAATAATAATAATAATAATAATAATAATAATAATCCTGACCTCACAATCGTGTTAAAAAAACCAAGTATGGATTGTCGAAGTTGCTATCCCAGGTGACACCAGGATTGAAGAGAAACAACTGGAAAAGCTGACACGATATAAGGATTTAAAGATCGAACTGAAAAGACTCTGGCACAAGCCAGTCAAGGTGGTCCCAGTGTTGATCGGCACACTGGGTGCAGTGCCTAAAGACCTTGGCCTGCACTTGAACACAATCGGCACTGACAAAATTACCATCTGCCAACTGCAAAAGGCCACCCTACTGGGATCTGCACGCATCATTCGCTGATCCATCACATAGTCCGAGACACTTGGGAAGTGTTTGACGTCTGATCCAATACAACAGCCAGCATAGTGATCTTGTTTGCTGTGTACTAATCTTCTTGTGTTTCTAATAATAATAATAATAATAATAATAATAATAGTTGTTGTTGTTGTTGTTGGCAGGAAGAGAGGTGTGACAGGGGTTGCATCCTTCCCAGGAGACTAATGCAACTCCTTCCACAACTGCTCAATCTTGGTCTAGCTCAATATTTTCAGCGCTACCTGCCTGGCAGGGTTTCAGGAAAGAGCCTATTCCATTCCTACCTGAAGATGCTTATGAATGTGTTTGATCTCATTCTAGGTCTCTGTGGAGCATTCTGCTTCTGTTGCCTAGGATGCAAAATTGCCAGAGACATGGAAGAATGTTGCTGCTGTGGTCCAACTGTGGCCATGAGGACCCGCTATCGGACTTTGTACAGGATACCGGTAATTTACTCAATCACTATTGCAGCTTTGTATCCAGTTGTCACATTTTTGAAACTATAGCATAATTTCACCCTGGGCATTCCACAGATATACAAACTCCGCTTGCCTAGTTTCCGACAGACCTCACAACCTCTGACAATGCCTGCCATAGATGTGTACAAAATGCCAGGAGATAATGCTTCTGGAATATGTCCATACAGCCCGGAAAACTCACCGCAACCCTATAGTATGATTATTTAAGAATCCAGTTTATGTTGTGGTTATTTTCGGAGTTACCATAAAACTCAGTCTTGGGCTGGGATCAGTTATTGTGTTGTTGTTCATTCGTTCAGTCGTCTCCGACTCTTCGTGACCTCATGGACCAGCCCACGCCAGAGCTCCCTGTCGGCCGTTACCACCCCCCGCAGCTCCCTCAAGGTCAGTCCAGTCACTTCAAGGATGCCATCCATCCATCTTGCCCTTGGTCGGCCCCTCTTCCTTTTGCCTTCCACTTTCCCCAGCATAATTGTCTTCTCTAGGCTTTCCTGTCTCCTCATGATGTGGCCAAAGTACTTCAACTTTGTCTCTAGTATCTTTCCCTCCAGTGAGCAGTCAGGCTTTATTTCCTGGAGGATGGACTGGTTGGATCTTCTCGCAGTCCAAGGCACTCTCAGAACTTTCCTCCAACACCACAGCTCAAAAGCATCGATCTTCCTTCGCTCAGCCTTCCCTAAGGTCCAGCTCTCACATCCGTAGGTTACTACAGGGAATACCATGGCTTTGACTAGGCGGATCTTTGTTGCCAGTTCTGATGTCTCTACTCTTTACTATTTTATCGAGATTGGACATTGCTCTCCTCCCAAGAAGTAAGCGTCTTCTGATTTCCTGTCCACAGTCTGCATCTGCAGTAATCTTTGCACCTAGAAATACAAAGTCTGTCACGGCCTCCACGGTTTCTCCCTCTATTTTCCAGTTGTCAATCATTCTTGTTGCCATAATCTTGGTTTTTTTGATTTAGCTGCAACCCAGCTTTTGCGCTTTCTTCTTTCACCTTGATTAGAAGGCTCCTCAGCTCCTCTCGCTTTCGGCCATCAGAGTGGTGTCATCTGCATATCTGAGGTTGTTAATGTTTCTTCCAGCAATTTTCACCCCAGCTTTGCATTCATCCAGCCCCGCACATCGCATGATGTGTTCTGCATACAAGTTAAAAAGGTTGGGTGAGAGGATGCAGCCTTGCCGTACGCCTTTCCCAATCTTGAACCAGTCTGTTGTTCCGTGGTCAGCTCTGACTGTTGCTACTTGGTCCTTGTACAGATTCCTCAGGAGAGAGACAAGGTGGCTTGGGATGCCCATCCCACTAAGAACTTGCCACAATTTATTATGATCCACACAGTCAAAGGCTTTAGAATAGTCAATGAAGCAGAAGTAGATGTTTTTCTGAAACTCCCTGCCTTTCTCCATTATCCAGCGGATATTGGCAATTATTGTTATTGTATTTAAGGCCTATTTGGTGGTGGCTCATTTTGACCCACATAATATATTTTGACCAGTGTCTGATGAATGGAATGACCACTTTCAGAGAATGAAGAAGCTGGCTACTCTTGCTATTAGGTTTTGTGCAAAACTAAATTTCAGGGTGAAAAGCTATTTTCTTCTTTGCTGGAGTAGATCCACTGAAATGAATGGGACTTCTTAGTTGCCATTTGCTTCTTAATATTATGAATTAGGCTTGGGCCCAAAACAGTTTGAATGAAAATGTTTTGTAATATTCGGTGGTCCATTTCATATAATATCCGAAAACAGAATGAGGAGGAGGGAGCCGAAAAACCTGTCAAAATGGATTAAGAGAGCCAGATTTTATTGGGTCCTGGAGAGCAATATACCACTTTGAGTCCCCCCAGGGGTGAGCAGTATATAAATACTGTAAATAAAAAAATTAACCTGAGGCAGGGATCTGCCGTGGGACTTTCCCAGCAGCACTTGCATGGGGCGGGCATTGAAAAGTCTCGGAGCATGATGGGAATTGAAGTTTCTCTCTGTCTCTCTCTCTGTTTCTCAGCCAATAAAAGGCCTGGTTGTGTCCATGCTTTGACTGGCTGAGAATGGACATAACTTGCGACTACAATTCCCAGAACCATCTCTTGCTGTTTGGCTTATTTTAAAAAATGCTGTGGTAAAAACTTAAAATAATTCTTAAAAATCAGTGGATTGGTGAATTGTTCTGAAACTTGGTAGGCCTACAGTTGTAAATGGGGTCGAAAACCAAAGTATGTTTCATGCAGATAGGCCTTAAAATGATGGAAGATTGAGCCTTTGAAGTTTCCCATTGTAGCCAATGGGCCAAATCTTTGCCAAATGAAAACAGCAACACCCCTTCCTATTCGGGCAGCTTCCCGATAAACAGAATGAGCTGACATGGACTCCGAAACGGCATGCCTTCTGGCTAAATTTCACATCTCTATTACGAATGGTCCGGTTTTTTACTCTCTTTGAAAGATGTTCTCCTGACTTTAGCACATTTTGGCATATCAAGACCTTTCACTAAACATGAACAGCATTCAATCAATTGTCGTGTCAGGAGCAACTTGAGAAACTGTAAGTCACTTCTGTTGTGAGAGAATTGGCCGTCTGCAAGGACGTTGCCCAGGGGACGCCCGGATGATTTGATGTTTTATCATCCTTGTGGGAGGCTTCTCTCATGTCCCGCATGAGGAGCTGGAGCTGATAGAGGGAGCTCATCCGCCTCTCCCCGGATTCAAACCTGCGACCTGTCGGTCTTCAGTCCTGCCGGCATAGGGGTTCAACCCACTGCGCCACCGGGGGCTCCGGTTTGTACATGTGAACACATATTTGACTTTTAATGCACAATCGTGCAAGATGCTTCACCAAAGTCAATACTAGCATTGGGATTGCAGAGCACTCATCTAACATTTGCTGTGCTTCCGACATAGGAGACTTTAATCTTGTTTCAACATATCCCCTCCTGTTTCTGACAGTTGATGACAGTGCCTGGCATCTATGTCAAAGGATCTATTTGCGATTCGCAAATAGAGGGTGCTTTATCTTGCCTAGGGACATTTCTATGCAACAGTATATAAGAAACACAACAAACATTTCTCCCTGCGTGCATCTCCTGTTCAGCCTCTCTAGAGTTCTGGAATTATTGCTCAGGATTACATTTCTGTGTTTTTTTTTTACTTTCTGCAGGGATCCATCTGCTCAGACTGCCTCGTTGCCGTGTGCTGCGCTCCTTGTAATCTTTGCCAGCTGAAGAGCGATATCAACAGAAGGAAACAATTGGGGATATTCTAGAGCATGTTGCAATCGTCTATATACTGCTTATAATGATTTGTCTCAGTGTTACTTGCAATTAGTTCCTTTTTGGAAACCTTTTTGTTCAAGTTTGTGTTCCTTTTTGGGGTTTTTTTTCATTTTCTGAAGGAAGACTTGTTTTCTCAAAAATGTTCTATCCAGGTACCCTCCTAGGCTTTGTTGGTGGCATCTCTCCTGGTGGATGCTTCTATTATTATGTACTTGGTTCTGAGCAACCGCATACCTTCCCCAGAAATCTGTCCCTCTTAACTTTTCTCTCCATTTCCCTTTTTACCCATCCTCTCCCACCCCCACCCCCCAAGAACATGTGTGTTTTGAAGTGAAATGTAACAGTACTGGTCTTATGTGGTAATTTTAATATGAATTAAATTCAGTAATATTGTGGTCACTCTTTCTATTCGGTTCAATGACTTTTAGGCCTCAAAATAGGTCCTGCACATCACTTAGAATTGTGTTGAAGTGCCTTCGCTGATTAAGGTATTGAAAAAGGTTACCTTTTGTCATGGCTAAAGACAACCTGGCAGAATGGTACTACCTAAAAGAATTCTCCACCTTGTGTGATTGCGGAGAAGAACAAACAACTCAGCATCTGTATGCTCACCTACCATGCTCTGCCTCATGCACAGAGGAAGAACTGTTTAAAGCAGGTATGAGCAAACCTGGGCCCTCCAGGTGTTTTGGACTTCAATTCCCCCCATTTCTAACAGCCTACCAGCTGTTAGGAATGGTGGAAGTCCAAAACACCTGGAGGGCCCATGTGCCATCACACCCAGACCCTATAAAGATAAAACTAAGATGTGCTTCTCTCTTTGTCTGGGTGGACTGTGGGGGGGGGGGGGGTCTTTCTTTAGAAGCTTGAGATTTCCAGCAACTGAGGCTACTACAGGCTTTGAACATCAAAAACAGAATATTTATTTTTCGAAGTCCTTGCAGACTTGGCACAGCTTGTTAAAGTTACAAACAAAACAATCAATTGGTGAAACAAGAGATGATCTTTCTTTCCTTTCCTTTAGTTACTGAGATAACTTTTCTCCAAAAGGCAGAAGAGAATCCTTGGATCTTTTCACCCTAACCCTGAGCTGCTATGGTTAGAAAAAAGCAGGTTTTTTCCCCCCTATCTATAGCTCAAGGTTAGCTTTGGAGATGAAGCAAATAGTACTCAATAACTATTTCTCAATAACTCAATATCTATCTATCTCTATAGTACTCAATAGCTTTTCTATCTAAATAACTCAATCTATAGTATCTCAATCTTCTTACCTAGTTCTCAATCATTCTTATAATGGTTTTTTCAGAGTTATTTGCCTGACCAACAGCACATCTGAAACTTTCCTTCTCTACTGAAGGGGGCAGGGAAAATTCCCAAATGGAGATCTCAACCCAGGAAAAAGGGCGGTCTCTAAACCCAAAGAGATACTTTCTGAATCAATAGCTGCAGAAGGGGCCTGCAGGCTGGCTTTCCAGCCTCTAATTCTGTTAACTTTCAGAGTGCAGCTGAGATTGTAGCAACCCTGGGGAAATGCAAGGGAACACTATCCCTTGCAACTAAAAGGTAATGCAAACTATGCTCCTGGAAGACAGAACAGCCCAAGTTTGCCCATACCTGCTCTAGGTCCTCCATAGTCAACTTCTGCTGAAAGTTGACCCCAAAACATTTCAGTGGAGAACCTGGAAATTCATTGAGAGGACATATCTCTATGAACCTCTAGATCAGTGGGTCCTAATCTTTGGCTTTCTGTGTGTTTTGAACTTTAGCTCCCACAATTCCTAACAGCTAGTAAGATGGTTGGGATTTCTGGGACCTGAAGTCCAAAATACCTAATGGGCCAAAGTTTGCACATACCTCCTCTAGGTCCTCCATGTTGACCAAAACATTGCAGTGGAGGACCTGGAAATTCATTGAGAGGACATATCTCTACAAACCTCTGGATCAATGAGTCCTAACCTTTGGTTTTGTTTTGAACTTCAGCTCCCACAATTCCTAATAGCTGGTAAGATGGCTGGGATTTCTGGGAGTCGAAGTCCAAAACAACTGGAGGACCAAAGGTTGGGCACCACTGTTCTAGATTCTCCAGTGTGATACCTTAAGCAATTGAGCATAGGGTTGTGATGGAGAACTAGAAAATCTAGGGAGGTGTTAGATTAAAAAAATGTAATTTTATTTTCACAGTTTCACTTTTTTCCTGTGCCGCTAACACCAGCAGATTATAGTGGTATTGTTCCACTTGAACTGGTGTAGTTTCATGCTATGGAAGCCTTGGGCTTGTAGTTTGATGACACTACAAACTACACAGTTTTTAACACACAAATATAACACTATGATTCCATTTTAACCACTACAGTTCCATCCTATGAAATTATGGGATGTATCATTCAATCAAGAATATTGGAAATCAGTCTGAAAGATTTAGAGGCTTATCAAATAGTAAATCCTAGGATTCCATAAGATGCACTGGAAGTAGAACAATAATACCATAATTGTATAGTATAAAAGATCACACAACATATGATGTTATATAGTTAATGCTTTGATAACTGAATTCAGCATATTCCTGCTGTTAGGAACTTTTTGATTCAGGTACAGTTGATCGAAGTAATTATGTGAATGAAAATACCCATGTTTCTGAGGTTTCAGCTTCTTCAATCTCAATGGGATAAATAAATAGGATTATAAATAGGAGTCTAGTGTCTAGATCCTGGGAAGTCATGCTACCTTTCTATTCTGACTTGGTCAGACCACATCTGGAATCACACTGTGTCCAGTTCTGGGCTCTGTAATTGAAGGAAGATGTTGACAAACTGGAATGTGTCAAGAGGAGGGCAACTAAAATAATCAAGGGTCTGGAGAACAAGTCCTATGAGGAGTGGCTTAAAGAGCTGGTCATGTTTAGCCTGCAGAAGAAAAGGCTGAAAGGAGACATGGTGTCCATATGTCAATATGTGAGTGGAAATCATAGGGAGGAGGCAGCAAGCTTGCATTTTGCTGCCCTGGAGACTATGAAGCAGAATAATGGCTTCAAACTACAGAAAAGGATATCCCATCTGAACATGAAGAAGAACTTCCTCGCTGTGAGAGCTGTTCAGCAGTGGAACTCTGTGCCCGCGAGTGTGGTGGAGGCTCCTTCTTTGAAGGTTTTTAAACAGAGGCTGGATAGCCATCTGTCAGGAGTGCTTTGAATGCAATTTTCCTGCTTCTTGGCAGAGGGTTGGACTGGATGGCCCGTGAGGTCTCATCCAACTCTATGATTCAATATCATATGCACTTCTATATATGGAGCAATGATACTCTTCACATCCCTGATCCATCCTTTGTTGCTTTATGTATCCTCTGATTTTAAACAAGCAATCCAGTTCTCCCATCCCATCCCATAGGCTTCCAGCCTTAATGTGATGTCTCTGACCTATTTCATTTCCAATTTGGGCAATCACAAAAACGTTTCCACCCTCATTCCTAAGAGATGGTTCAACACAAACATGAGGCTCACTGTCTCCTGTCACTTGTCCCTCAGGGTTTGGTTTAAGAGCTGATTTTTGATGTTTGAGGTCTGGTTCTATAAATCAAAGCCTTCAAGTCAGCAGCTTTGGCTATAAGTGAACAAACTTGTTCCTTCAGGGGCCCGGAGTTAATTATGCCAGAAACACACCCATAGCCTTTATACAGAACGAACACTGCAATACTTCTCCAAAGCTTTCTAAAAATAGCCATTAGTTAGAAGGTATAAAATAGAAAATATCAAATGTTCAAGAAGGTTACAAGTTGTTAGCTGTAGTCTGAAATTCAAAGTTGGCATGAGACACTAACAATTCCCCTCTCCCTAAAGAAATGTGGAATCTGTCTGGAGAATGACCCAATGTAGCATAGTTCTACATGCAAAACTGCAAAACTATGCTGCACCAAACAGAATTGCAATCAGTGCCTAACATCTCCAAAACAGCCCAGTCACACAGAGAGTCCCATATCAGTGGCCCACAAATTGAAATATCCTATAGCAGCGTTTCTCAACCTGGGTGGGTCACGAGGAAGTGTCAGGGGGGTCGCCAACGACTATCAGAAAACACAGTATTTTTTGCAGGTCATGGGGGTTCTGTGTGGGAAGTTTGGCCCAATTCTATCGTTGGTAGGGTTCAGAAAGCTCTTTGATTGTAGGTGAACTATAAATCCCAACAACTACAATTTCCAAATGTCAAAGTCTATTTTCCCTAAACTCCACAAGTGTTCACATTTGGGTATATTGAGTATTTGTACCAAGTTTGGTTCAGATCCATTATTGTTTTAGTCCACAGGGCTCTCTGGAGGTGGGTGAACTACAACTCCAAAAATCAAGATCAATGGCCACCAAACCATTTCAGTATTTTCTGTTGGTCATGGGAGTTTTGTGTGACAAGTTTGGTTCAATTCCATTATTGGTGGAGTTCAGAATGTTCTTTGATTGAAGGTTAACTATAAATCCCAGCAACCACAACTCCTAAATGACAAAAATTATCCCCCAACCCCACCAGTATTCAAATGTGAGCGTATTGGGTATTTATGCCAAATTTGGTCCAGTGAATGAAAATATAACTTTCATATCAGATATTTACATTGCAATTCATAACAGTAGCAAAATTAGAGTTATGAAGTAGCAACGAAAGTAATTTTATGGTTGAGGGTCATCACAACATGAGGAACTGTATTAAGGGGTCACGGCATTAGGAAGGTTGAGAACCACTCTCCTATAGGCACATGTTTTGGTGGTTTCAAACATGTTAACCCCCTTATAGAACACATAAATGGTCAGCTTGTCAGCAGTATCCATGTGATCCCATTTCCTTAAAAACAGTTCTTCAAGCAGAAGTACTCTGGTTTCATTCTGCTTACTCTTCTCTTTTCAGCTCATCATCTTTCCTCCTACAAATCAGCTGTCCAGCAGTGGGTCATGCCTTTCATTTCCTCAAACTTTACACAGGCACTGAGTTTGTTTTCAAGATCACGTACACATTCCCCAGAATATAGGAAGTAGCAAAGAACTAGAACTTGGCACCAACACAAGTACTTCCAACAATGAGCAGCCCTTTATGCTACTACTGAAAAGTCCTTACAGCTGCAAGTTTCTCTTTTGAGCTAGCTGGTTGGACCTCCGCAGCTGGATGGCATCAGCTCTAAGCTGAAGCCAGGCAAAGAGAGTTAATTCCTGCTCTTTCTCCTAAAGAGCCCCATCCTGTGCCCAGGCTCAGGTGCTTTCATTCCTAGAGGGTCCTGCTCCTGCTCAGCAGTAGCAATCTCTACAGCAGTGGTTCTCAACCTGGGGTCCCCAGATGTTTTTGGCCTTCAACTCCCAGAAATCCTAACAGCTGGAAAACTGGCTGGGATTTCTGGGAGTTGTAGGCCCAAACATCTGGGGATC